CCATGGACTTTCAGAAGAATGAATACATCTATTTTTTAAAAGAATCCAGTCAGAATCCTGCTTTCAAAAGAGAAGGGTGAGGCCTTGCCTTGCATACTTTGGGCATGTTATCAGGAGATACCAGTCCCTGGAAAAGGACATCAAGCTTGGCAAGGTAGAGGATCAGTGAAAAAGAGAAAGACCTTCAACAGGATGGGTTGATACAAGGGCTGCAACAATGAACTTAAACATGGCAGTAGTTTTGAAACAATTACTGGACTGAGCAATGCTTTATTCTGTTTGAATACTGTAGTGACAAGGCAGATTCAACTGAACTGTGCTTGAAACAATAACACAAAATACCTCATGCAAGAAATAATTTACCAACTCTAAGTTTATACTAAGGGAGTTTTGGTGTCATAATGGCCAGAAGCTGTGCTGCAATCCGAAGGCACGAGGTTTGAATCCTCAAGCTGCTCCATGGGAGAAGGATGGGCAATCTCCTCCCATGAGATTAACTGCCTCTGAAAACCCACTGGAGGGTCAGCTATGGGTCACTTCTGACTCAACGGTACACAACAACAATAAGGTTGTTCTAGATTTTTTAATTTAATACAGTCTAAATATACACATTAACTTAGTAAGTTTTTGTTGTTCTTGTTAGGTGCTGTTGAGCTCAGTACAATTCTAAGAAACCCTATGAAAAAGAGGCCTGAGCCCTGTCCTATCCCGTGCCATGCTTATCATTTCTCACACACTTGAGCCCATTGCTGCAGTCACTGTGCCAATCCAAGGTAGCATCGACACTGTATCATTTCTCCATACCTACCCAATCTATATGCTGAGCAAATACTTTGATAAGTTAACTCTAAGAAGAAAAATTTGACATCAGCATAGGAGGAAGGCTCACCAACAATATGTATTATGCAGATGACACAATCTTGCTTATTGAAAGTGAGAATGACTTGAAGTTCTTACTATAGAAGATCAACGACTATAGCCTTCAATATGGATTACATCTCAAAATCAAGAATACAAAATCCTCACCACTGAACCAATAGGCAACATCATGACAGATCGAGAAAAGATTGACATTGTCAAGGATTTCATCTTGCTTGTATCCTCAAATTAACACCCTTGGCACCAGCAGTAAGGAAATCAAAAGACATGTCATATTGAGAAAGTTTGCTATTAAAGACCTCTCCAAAGCACTGAGGAGTAAGGATGTTGATTTGAAGACTAAAATGTGCCTGATTCAACAAAAGCCTTTCACTCACTTGCTATGTATTTGAGAGCTGGACAATGAATAAGGATGACAGATGAAGAATTGATGCCTCTGAGCTATGGTGTTACAGAAAAGTACTATATGTCCCATAGATTGCCAAAAGAACAAATACCTTGGAGGAGGAGCAGCCAGAGTGCTCCTTGGAGGTAAGGATGGCAAAACTTTGCTTCAAATACTTCGGCCACACTGTGAGAAGGTGGAAAGGGACATCAAAGCCTAGAAAGGTGGAGGGTCACAAAATAGAAGATGACCCTCAATGAGCCACATTGATACAGTGACTGCAGCAATGGACTCAAATCTGTCACAGATGATGAGGATGGTACAGGATAGACAGGGTTCAGATCTGCTGTCTGTAGGCTCACTATCAGTCATACTCAACTGGACAGCACATAATAACAACAACAACAACTATATATAT